GGAGGGGGCCCCAATGGGTAATGGAAGTGGGGGGGTGGGGGGCGGGACGCGCTTGGAAGCGGAGCTCGCCGAGGCGGTATAGGCCAGAGGCCTCACCGTCTCCTGGGGGGGCTAGACAAATGCAGCAGCTTACCCGGCAGGACTGACCAGTCAGCGTAGTCTGTGCTGTCAAGTGATTCCTGGTCGTGGAGAGGTTGGATCTCATCGATCTGTAACCAGGGGGTGGCAGGGTTAGCAATCACCAAACCAGGAGAGACACAGCAACTCTACCCCAATCCCTCCCCCTCCACAGGTGCCCATTCCACTGCACGGGGCATCGCAGGCTCTGCAACTCAAGGCCACTCGACTGCGCGGGGCATCGCAGTGACTGCAACTCGAGGCCATTCGACTGCGCGGGGCATCGCAGTGACAGCAACTCGAGGCCATTCGACTGCGCAGGGCATCGCAGTGACAGCGACTCGAGGCCATTCGACTGCGCAGGGCATCACAGTGACAGCGACTCGAGGCCATTCGACTGCGCAGGGCATCGCAGTGACAGCAACTCGAGGCCATTCGACTGCACAGGGCATCGCAGTGACTGCAACTTGAAGCCATTCACTGCACAGAGTCGCAGTGACAGCAACTCGAGGCCACTCGACTGCACAGGGCATCGCAGCGACAGCAGCCCAGGGCAATCTGACTGCACGGGGAATTACGGTGACGGCAACCTGGGGCCATTCGACTACATGGCAGCACCAACGTGGGTCTATTCGACTGCATGGGGCACCGTGGCAGTGGCAACGTGGGTCTGTTCGACTGCATGGGGCATCGCGTGGTCATCCAACTGCGCGAGGCATCGCCAACCCATGGGACGCAGCGAGCGCGCATTGCGGTCAGCAAGGGGCAACTTGGCTGCCGTGGCTTCACAGACGGGGACCCACTGTGGGCACGACCGCTCCCCCACCACCCCACCCCCTCCGAAGGGAGCGCACGCCCCTCACCAGCGGGAGACCGAGCCCAACACGCGCCCAGTTGACCGTGGACAGCTTCTCCTTGAGCACGTTCGCCACCGGGCTGACAGTATTAGCCGGGGGGAAGATCGGCCCCTTACACATCGGGCACTGGTACCCAGCCGGGGCCGTGTTCTTCGGTAACTGAGCAGCCATCTTGTTCAGACAGGACCAGTGGAAGATATCTGTAACCGTGAGAGAGAAGGGAAACGTCTCGGGTCAGACTCACTGGGAGTAACAGTCACATCCCTCATAGGGGGAGGCGATGGCCTAGTGGCCCATTAATGCAGAGACCCAGATAACATTCTGGGACCTGGGTTCGAATCCCGCCACGGCAGATGGCAGAATTTGAATTCAATAAATATCTGGGATGAAGAGTCCAACGATGACCGCGTGCACGCAGACACAGACAGACCCACGCACAGGCGCGGGGCTGTGACCACGGAGGGCCCCAAAGTCAGGCGTGCCAAAGCCAGAGACCTCACGGGCACACGCACGCACACCCATGTTCGCGCAGACAACCAGCAACACATACTCAAACTATGCCAGAGAAAGAAGAGGGGACACCCACCCAGGAACACACGCTCCAAAACGGGAACATAGGCGTGCATAAAGAGAGGGACACATGTCTGAATGGTGAAAGTAACAAGACACGAGAAACTGACTGCCCTGTGACATTGCACAGACACGGGGACACGCACACAAATAAACACACGCGTGCACACAAACACACGCACGCACAAATAAATACACGCGCACAAATAAATACGCACACACACAAATAAATACACGCGCACACGCACACACACACACAAAT